GATTTAAGAAGTCAGGATTCCAACCCAAATTCCAACCTTCTGATTTTAGGCCCAGTGCTTATTCTATCACATGACCTCAAGTAATGTGGTCCAGTTTGAATAATAATAATACTAATAATAGCTTACATTTATATGGTGCTTTAAGATTTGCAAAGTACACAAACATTATCTTATTTTATCCTCAACAACAATCCTGGTAGGTAGATGCTATTACTATCGTCCTCATTTTATAGGTGAAGAAATTAAGGACAGACCTTAAGTGACTTCCTCAAGGTCACATAGTTAGTGAGAGTCTCAGGTTGGATTTGAACTCAGGTCTTGCTGACTTGGGATCCAGCACTTTATCCACGGTGTCGCCTAGCCGATTCTATGTAAGGTCTGAGGGCATTCAAGGTAAAGGCTTGATCATAGTGCCAACCTGATCTTGTCTTCCTATTCCCCGAACCCAGATCCTTAGGACTTCACTGTTTCTGTTCTTCCCACGACCAATTCTCCCAGACACCTAGGCTCAAAGCCTCCCAAGTTATATTTGATTCCTCCTTCTTCTTCACCCTTAAATAATTAGCTTCCAAAGAAGCACATATTGAATCTACCTCCTCATGGCATCTAGAACTGGGCCTTTCATCTCCACTGATACTGTCCTGGTTCAGGCCCTCATTGCCCATCACCTTGATTATTGAAATAGTCTTTTTCCCAAGCACAGGGCAAGTACTTAATAAATGTTAGTTGGTTGACTAAATTTGCACCTCCAGTCTTTCTCCTCTCTGTCCCACCCATTGTGAACACCGCCGCTGGATAACTCTTCCTAAAACACAGCTTTAATCATGTTGATGTAATACACAAAAGCCTTACCCACTGTCAATTAAATTGAGTCCATACTCTTCAGGTTGGCATTCCAGTACTGCTACAATATGGTCATATACTTTGCAACTTTATGTCCTACTTCCAGGAGTAAATGCTTAACAACCAGCTTTCCAAAAACAGCTTGACAGGCTTTTAACTTTAAACTGCATTATTGTTTTCTCCATTACTTTGATAAGTGTAGAAATCAACAAAACAATAAATCAAACCTTGATTTATATAGCCTTTGTTGATTTCTGAGGTGTAAAATATTGAAAATTTAACACTCAGCTCTCAAAAGCCATGAAGCTGGATCTAGCACACCTCTTGCTTCCCCTCACATTGCCATGTCCTAGCCAAACTGTGCAATTCTTGTTTCCCCTAATATTCTCTATGTTTTCCTTTCTACGGAAAGTGCGCTGGATTTGGAGCTAGAGGACATGGGTTTAAATCCTGAATCCCCCATTTACTAACTGGGTGACCTTGGGGAAGACCGTGCCGCAAAAGGAAACATCATTTCATGGAACAAACTGGCCACCTCATATTGAATAGCTCATGATGAATGTTTGCAAAAATGACTACCATGAAAAAATTACATCTTGCAGAAGAGTTGCAGAAGAATTAAAGGAAAAGGTATTCTGCAAAAGCCTTGCCTGATAAGACCTTCCAAATCAATCAATACCTGCTTAGGTACTCCATGACTTTGATGTGAAGATGGGAGTAATGGAGGATAGTGAGAAATATATTGGAAAATACACATCAAGAGGAAGGAGCAAGAGGTCAAGGGCATTCAGACAAGGCTCACACCTGTACATCACGAACCCTCAGAGAAAAGAACTGAAAATGGTTGGACGTGGAAAAAAGCAAATAACGTCACACACAAAAAGATGAAATTGACTATATTTTAACAGGCAGGAAATGATTCATTACCAAAGTGGGAGGTATCCCTGAATCTGGGTATAGTCAGAACACCAACTTGTTAGAGCAAAGGCCAAAATTCACACAGAGCTTGGAGAAGTTTAAAATGGCAAAAAGGGGTATGGTATGCAATAAAAACAACTCCAACTGGACTGTTTAAGCAAGTTATTGTGAAAACATGGGATATGGAGGGAAGCACATAGATTCAGACTATAATAACTTCATGTTGTTGTTGCTGCTGTTGTTGAGTTATGTCTAACTCTCTGTGACCTCATTTGGGGTTTTCTTGGCAAAGATACTGGAGTGGTTTGCCATTTCCTTCCCCAGCTCATTTAAAGATGAGGAACTAAGGCAAACAAGGTTAGGTGACTTGCCCAGGATCACACAGCTAGTAAGTGTCTGAGGCCAGATTTGAACTGGAAGATAAGTCTTCCTGATTCCAAGCCTGGTACTCTATCTACTTCACCACCTAGCTGCCTCCATAATATATATGTGTGTGTGTGTGTGTGTGTGTGTGTGTGTGTGTGTGTGTGATGTGTGTATGATGTATATATGTGTGTGTGTGTATTTATATATACACACATACATATATGTATCTCTATACATATAGACATACATATATATGTATCTATATCTATATAGAGGTATGAATAGCCAAAACAAGGAGAGAAAATGAACCTTGAAAAGAACCTTAGCAAACACCTGAATTAATGGCCAAAATAGTGGATATAGACCAAGCATACAAAGAGGAAATCCATGCTCAAAGCAACAGAATTGTAAGGGCATTGAAGGTTCCATTGGTGAGGTATCAGAAAGAGAAGACACTAGAGATGTAGAAAAAGAAAAATTTCAGACCTTTTTCATCCCCAAAAAGGAGAGAGAGAGCATCAATAAATATTTGCCTTATATGCCTACTTTCCAACTACATAACATCCTTTACAAGGATATTAGTAAGGAATAGGCTGGCTTTCTCAAATGATATTTTGTAATACAACATATCTTTACCATCACGTAGTTGACTGGAAGAAGTAGAGAATACAAGATCCGACTGCCTATTGTTTACTGATTATAAAATAAATTTGGTCCAGTAGAACTGGAGGGAATATAGAGGAATGTTGGCTAAAGGTCTTCTTCGAACAAGATGTCCCCATGCACACAGCAAAATGACTTGATTATTTGAAATGTACAACCTACCCCAGCTTCCCTTACTCGGGAATCCTTAAGCAGCCACTGTGGGCATCTGTCTGAGCCCTGGGGGGTAAAGAACTAACTTCAAAATAGCCCACTCAGTGGAGGTTCCCTATGTGGATAGTTAGACCAAACTCTCTGAGTTGTAATGAAACTCTACCACAGTCTCCACAGAGCTCTTGATGCAAAGAGTACTCTGACTTCAGCAAAAAGGAGCATCTGGCATGTATAAAGAATCCCTATTCAACCAGGACTCTGTCCTGGATCTCTTCCATGATGGTGGCAAGCATCTTTGGTGAAACATATGTTTCTCTTCCTGTTTTTATGCCTTACCTAATATATATGATGAAGAATGCAAAACGAGACTTACATTCTCAGACACCACCAAAGTGTTTGTTTTGCTTGACTACACATGTTTATGAGAGGGAGCCCTTTATTTGAGGTAAGGGGTTTAGTTAAAGGATATGTACAGTTTAATGACTTTGGGGCTATAATTCCAAATTGTTTCCAGAATAGATGTCAATTGAAATTCCACTAACAGTTCCTTAGTCAGCCTCTTTGCCCACAAGTCTTCGGCTGCCACATAAAGAGCCCTGGATTTGGAGGCAGAGAGCCTGGGTTTGAATTCTACCTGGCTAAAAGAGAGAATAATTGTAAATCTTAGCACAGTGCCTGGCGCATAGTACACATTATATAAACTATATAAATATTTGTTATTATTGTTGTTGTTGTCATCGTCGCCATTTTTGGCAATCTGACAGGTATGAGGTAGAAGCACAGAGTTGTTCGAATTTGTATTTCTCCCGTTAATAGTGACCTGGAACATTTTAGGCAACTCTCTAAGACTGTCAATTGCAAAGAAAGGGTCAGTTTGCACCCAACATGGGAACAGAGTATTCTTTACTGGGAGCCCATAGCACTGATGAAATGGCATGTCCAGTCCCAGCCCAACATACTACCCAGTATCTTATATTGTATATTAAAATGTAAAAGCAATCTATATAAATGACATAATATAAATTGCTTTTACGTTTTAATACATATCCTACATGATATATTACTTTTACATTTTAATGTTATACATATTACTCTTACATTCTAATAACTACACATTATACATAATGCAATATATGTATATTTAAATATATTGTGAATAATGGAATGCTTATTAATTTGCTTATATTAAGTGATTAATATTTGTATAAAATAGTTATTTCAGTTTAATATTGTATAACATAATAGAATTTATTTTACATGTTAATGTTATACATAATAAAATATATTTAATGTCATATGTTTCAAAATTTAATGTTATACATTATACCTAATAGATATTTATTTTATATTTCAATGTATTGTATGTAATAAACATACTTATTTTACATTTTAATATCTATCATACATATTTCTTTTAGATTTTAATATATCATATATACAAAGATATTTATTTTACATTTAACATGTATAATAAAACACCTTTATTTTACATCTTAATATAGCTTGCATATTTCTTTTAAATTTTAATATGTTACCCATTATACAACATAATATTTATTTTACATTTTAACATTTTTAAAGCGTATTCAACACAAGATCAGTTTCTTATACGTCTCTTTCTTTTCTTCTTTGTATATTGATATGTTTGTTGATGACAATTTTCACAATTCAAACGAAAGTTTAAAAACGAGAGAGAGCTGTGGCAACAGAGATAGAACCTAGTGCGGTAACCCCCTAGTCACAGGGAGCCAGTCAACGGTCCCCTTCCTCCCTCCTCCTCCCTCCTCTTCCCCCATTTCCTTCACCTCCTCCCTCCTCCCTCCTCCCTCCTCCCTCCTCCCCTAGGCAGCCCTAAGTGGCTCGAGCTCCGCCTCCTCCCTCCTCTCCTCCCCGCTCCCTTTTCCCTCCCTTTTCCCTCCCTCCTCCCCTAGGCTGCGGGGTAGCCCAGGCTCCGCCCCGCCCCCTCCCCGCCGTTTGAGCAGGGCTGGCCCCGCCCTCTCGCCGCCGCCGGGAAGGCGCCGAATCTGCGCAGGCGCGGTAGCCGCGGTAGCCTAGGAGCCGTTCGGGCGGAAGCGTGGACCGCCGGATCCGCTATGGCCGTCGCGGCGGTGCACCTGGACTCGGACGCGTTCCTGGTGTGCCTGAACCATGCCCTGAGCACGGAGAAGGAGGAGGTGATGGGGCTGTGCATCGGCGAGGTGGACGCCAGCAAGATAGTGCACATCCACTCGGTGATCATCCTGCGGCGCTCGGACAAGCGCAAGGACCGCGTGGAGATCTCGCCCGAGCAACTGTCGGCCGCGTCCACCGAGGCCGAGCGGCTGGCCGAGCTGACGGGCCGGCCCGTGCGCGTGGTGGGCTGGTACCACTCGCACCCGCACATCACTGTGTGGCCGTCGCACGTGGACGTGCGCACGCAGGCCATGTACCAGATGATGGACCAGGGCTTCGTGGGCCTCATCTTCTCGTGCTTCATCGAGGACAAGAACACCAAGACGGGCCGCCTGCTGTACACGTGCTTCCAGTCGGTGCAGGCGCAGAAGAGCGCCGACTACGAGCGCATCGAGATCCCCATCCACGTGGTGCCTCACGACACCATCGGCAAGGTGTGCCTCGAGTCGGCCATCGAGCTGCCCAAGATCCTGTGCCAGGAGGAGCAGGACGCGTACCGGCGCATCCACAGCCTCCCGCACCTCGACTCGGTGACCATGATCCACAACGGCTCCGTCTTCACCAAGAACCTGTGCAGCCAGATGTCGGCCATCAGCGGGCCGCTTTTGCAGTGGCTGGAGGACCGGCTGGAGCAGAACCAGCAGCGGGTGCGGGAGCTGCAGCGGGAGAAGGAACGGCTGCAGCAGGAGCTGGCGGCGCTGGACTGAGGCCCCCCACAGCGAGGGGGCCGGGCAGGCTGGAGGCGGGGGTCCTTCCTGGGGTTTTGTGGTTTGCTCCCCCTCCGCATACGGGCCGCCTCTAGGTGGCACAAGTGTACAGAGATCCCCCGGGGGTCCCGTGATGGACGAACCTGGTTTTTGTATAAAGTATTTTGGTAAAAATTCCAGCAGGATTGTCTGTGCATTTAATCCTGTGCACGGGAAGAGAGAGGTGTGCGTGAAGGGAAGGGGCAGAGCCGCCTCTGTGCCATGCACAGTGCTGGGTGCGGGGCATACAAAGACAGGGGCCTTCCGGAGCCTGTGGGAGGCAGCGTGTACCTATGTATAGATATATGCAAAATAGAAAAGCCTGTAAGTGGCTCAATGCATAGAATACTGAACATAGAGTACTGGAGTCAGGAAGACCGAGTTCAGATCCTGCAGACACTAGCTGTGTGAGCCACTTTTCTGGCCTGTAAAACAGGATTAATAATAGCACCTAGGGTACAAGGTTGTGGTGAGGACCAAATGAGACAGACATGTAAAGCATTTTGCAAACATTAAAGTACTATATAAATGCTAGCTATTAAGTACAAAGTGGGAGTGGAGAACAGAGACAGAATAGGAAAAGACTTTTTCTTAGAGATGGCTTTTATTGCCCAAATGGAATTAGATGCTGTAGAGTACCTTCATGAGTGTTAATTAACCAGTATGTACACATACATTAGTATGTGTGTATGTAATAGACATGTATACACACAAATACACAGATATACATACAAACATATAGGTATATAGAGGAAAGATTTAACCAGATTGTGTATATATGTATATACACACATCAACACAAACACACATACAAACATGTATGCATACAAAAGACTTAAAGTAGACATGGCTTTTATTGCCCAGAAGTAAAGTACATTCGTGAGTATTAATTAACATACATATACACATATATTTACATACCCACCCATACACCAGTGTACATATGTATTATATACATGCACACAAACATGTATGATATATATGTATGTATGTATATGTTTGTCTTAGATAAATGATTGATAGGCCCAGAATTAAACCTTTGATAACCCTGAACTTTTTCTAGAAACACAGGCCCATTTTTTAACGTCAACATTTTACCAATGTGGTATAACAGCTAGTTATAGAACACTCCAGTCAGTGATTAATTTAAAATGAGTATTACTCAGAGGGCAGTGAAGAGGAGCAGTGGGTATGAGCACACTGGAACGACAAATAAGCAGATGAAGAAATGGAGTAAGGAATGTCATTGGGGGAAAAGAATTTTACAGATGGGCTTACTAAATGCTTGCTAATTGTCTAGTTACAAGGGCAGAGAAGGGATAACTGATGGACGGCCTGTGTTCTCCAGTGATATCTCCAAGATGTCAGGAGAAATCAAGAAATCTTCCACATACAAACCCACACCCATGGGGAGATCCTCTGGTGGACCTATGGGAGGCTATGGACAAGATTCATAGAGAGTGGTCAGGCATGGATGAATTGGAATCTACATCAATGGAGGGAACATTCACATTGATGAAATGGCAGATTTGAGTACACCAAATCAGTCTGGAAGAAATGACTGTTTTATTGGAAATGAAAAGATCTTGACAAACTGAAAGAATGACCCAAACCCCAAAAGATAAAACTTCTACAAGGAAGTTCTCACACTGGGGTTCAAAAGCCAGAACAATTAGAGGACAGGAAAGACATGGGTAGTTGGTTCATTTGAAAAATAAATTGAACCAACATCATGAGGTGCCTACTAAAAACCTAATCATTCTGATAGTTTTAACAGAAGTAGGATGTCCAAAGCAAGGGACGTGAGAGTTGTGGGCCACACTGATCAGAGCACATCTCAAGAATTAAATTCAGTCTAGCCACCATATTTTAGAAAGGTAACTCAAATGGTGACAAAACCATGTCAAATGGTAACTTGGAAGAAGTGAAAATTTACACAAGATATGTTCACTGTCTTCAGATGTCTGAAAGACTGTCATGTGAGCGAAGAATTACTTTTATCTGGTCTGACTCAAGGGGGTACAGCCAGGATTAATGTAAGAGTTTCCTAATGACCACATTTTTACAAAATTGGATTTTTATGAAGGTAATAAGTTTACTGTCACTAACAGTGCTCATCAGAGGCTAGGTAAGCACCTATGGAGGGTGCTGAGGAAGGGATTTTGGCGTTATTTGGCAGTTGAGTGAGATGATGGTGGAGTTCTATTGGAGAGGAAGCATAGTGTATAGTGAATAAAAAGAGCCCTAGGCTTGAGTTGGAGTCCCAGTTCTGTGACTTAACTACCTGTGGGATCTTAGGCAAATCATTTGACTTTGTTGAGACTCAGTTTCTAAATATGTATAATAGGTTAAAGGTCTCCTAACTTTAACATTTTGTGATTACCAGATGCTGTGATAAAGGCAGCTCAGTGGTGCAGTAGGTAGAGTGCTGAGCCTGATGTCAGAGAGACCTGAGTTCAAATTCAGCCTCAGACCCTTACTAGTTGTGTGATCCTGGACAAGTCACTTAACCTCACTTTCCTCAACTGTAAAATGAGGACAGGCAGTTGGTGGTGCAGTGGATAGAGCATCAGGCCTGGAGTCAGAAAGACTCATCTTCCTGAGTTCAAATCTGGCCTCAGACACTTAATAGCTGTGGGCAAGTCACTTTAACCCTGTTAGCCTCAGTTTCCTCATCTGTAAAATGAGCTGGAGAAGAAAATGGCAAACCATTCCAGTATCTTTGCTAAGAAAACATCCAGTGGGGTCAACAAAGAGTCTGAAATGACTGAACAACAAAAAATGAGGGTAGTAACAGCACCTACCTCCCAGGGTTTTTGTGAGGATCAAATGAGATAATATTTGTAAAGTGCTTAGCATAGTGTCTGGCATATAGTAGGTACTATATAAATACTTATTCCCTTCCCCCATAACAATACAGAAATAGGTTGAAGGCTGCCTGTAAATGCCATCTGACTGAAACAGACAATTATACATCATGGCAATTATTCAGAGAAAAGTTTCCAAGGTAACCCTGGAGCTGGTTCCTGAAGGATGGGAAGAATTTCAATAAATGGGGGAGGTGGGAGGCAGCAAAGTTCAAAATATGTTTGGGGATCTGTAGGTAGGCTAGTTGGAGTAGAATGGAGAGTTCAGAAGTGTCAGTAGTAGGGAAATGTAATTGGAGCTGATTGGTGCCATTTTGTAGAGAGCCTTAAGTGACAAGCTAAGGAGATTTCATTTTGTTAATTAAGCATTGGAAGCTAGTGAAGGGTTTTGAGCAGATCAATTTGACTCAATTTAACAATCATGTATTAACTGCCTACAATACGTAAGGTACTGGGCGGAACATTGGATAGAGCATTGGGCCAAAAGTCAGGAAGACCTGACTGAATTCAAATCTAACCTCAGACACTTTCTAGCTGTGTGACCCTAGGCAAGTCATTTAACCCTTTTTGCCTCAGTGCCTCATCTGTAAATAAGCTGGAAAAAGAAATGGCAAACCATTCCAGTGTCTTTGCCAGGAAAGCCCCAAATGGGGTCATGAAGAGTCAGACATGACTGAAACGACTCAAAAACAACAGCAAAATAGTAGGGTCCTGTGCTAAGCATTAGGAATACGAAGAGAAAAAAATGAAATTCCTACCATCTTCTGGAAGGAACAATGTGTGTGTGTGTGTGTGTGTGTGTGTAAACTGACATCTACCATCTACACTTAAACTTGGAGACAGAATTTTCTAACCTCTTTAAAAATTTTCCAAAGACTTTCAGTCAGTTTGAATCTATTTGTTACAAATATAAAAGTGCTATACCATCCAGTTAGTTTCTAAGACTATCAAAGAAAATGGAAGTTTACTGGCAAATTTTCAACAAAAACATTTTCCTTACTGGTGGGTAGGATTGAAAAATTAGTACTGAGATTTAGTAAGCATTGCCAACGATACATTTCCATTCAGATCTACGTAACATTTTTCACCAATCATAGCCAATAAAATGGAAATAAACTCAACCTCAGACTTTTGAATCATTATCACAGTGTATAAAGTCCAGATTTTTAAAAATGATAAAATATATTCAATCACATTGTTCTCAGTCTATCTTCTAGTAATGTCAATGAGAACCAGAAGGTTTATCATGATATTAATAAAATACTTTTAAACAGTTTATTTCATCTTTTGTACCAACCTCCCAAGTTTGATGCGAGGATCAAATAAGATAACAAGGTAAAGCTTTCCAGTCCCCAAAGTGCCATCTGAATGGTACTATCTATCTACACTAAAGCTATCATCTTTATCTTGTTCTTTTGAAGCTTCTATCTCTCTATGGTTTATAATGGACATAATACATCAGCACAGAAATACATGTAGATTATTTCTATTGTGAGGCTCAAAAAAACTTGAAAAGAGTATAGGATCAGAAATTTGGAGACCATGTCTCTAAAGTGATCTACAGATTTCAAGAGGCAAAAGCAAAGAGGGAGAGCCCTGCAGCCATGCCTGTGATGGACACCTTTTCAAATTTCTACCAGATACCTGCTTTCTTTACACTTGAATCCCCAAAAATCAGAGCTCAAGAACAATCCTAGTAGATTCCAGTTGGGTTTTGATTGCGGTGTTATCATTGCTTGTTTGCAAGTTTCTTCAATTGGAGAAGCTATTTGTTTAATTTTATTTGTTCAATTCAATAGCCACTAATTGTCTACTGTTTGCCAGGCACTGTAGTAGGCTTGAAAGGGGTAGGGGTGGAGAATGCAAAATAGAAGTAGGATATTGACTGTATCATCATGGAATAAGTATGCTTATACTTATTCATTGGCTGTCATGATACAAACTGATGACTTTTTCCTATATGTTTCATAACAAAGGAATGCATGTTATTCTTACTCCATAAGATTCAGAGACTGATGACTTAAAGAAAAATTATTTCGTTTAGGCTTCCCAGAGAAAGACAGCTCCTTAGGAATTGCCTATTTAACTGTAGTCTAGTGCAGTGTCAAATTCAAATAGAAATGGGGACCACTAATCTGTGGATTAATATGGATCCCTGCAGGCCACATATTGACTTAGTT